GCGAGATACAAGCCGAGTCAAAGGAGAGGAGAGGACAACAGGACAAAAGACAAGCAAGGGTCAAAACCGGAAACACAAGATAAAGAACGCGCTGAGTGACTAGCAAGCTAGAACCACGACAGGGCAATGAGCAGTAGTAAAGGTTTCCTTTAAATACCCTGTTACCTAAATAGAGACCACGCCCCCAAAAGGTCCGGAATAGCGGTTCCCGGCACTTTATGCAAATGCCGACGTCATGACGTCGACGCTAGGCGTCGCGTCATAAAAGGGGGAGGAGCTAGCGCGGCCGGCGCGAAAACGGCCGGAATATGCCGAAATGCTAGGGGCAGGGAGGCCCTAAGCAGAGAGGATGTCCTCCCTGGATACATCACCAACAGGTACCCTGACAATTCGCTTATGTGCAAAACAAATCCAGACAGTTTTTCCATTTTGAGAGCACTTCAGCAAGTGCATGGGTGTCAGGATAGTCTAATTCCCAACATGCAGATCTTATGTAAACTAAAATAATGTTAACCAGAAATCCTAAAACATATTACTGGAGTTTAGAATAGAATAGAAGAATAGTAACTGTTACGGTACCCTCAGCATGAAATGTACAAACCGCCGTTTAGTGAATGCTCCCCGTTCGCAATAACATAGGCTGCATGCGTATCCAGTATAATCATGCGAACCGCAAGCAAGGGAACGCTGTAAACTCACGAACGGGATCCGTACGGGCACTTCACTCCACGAGCTCCAGACTCACGAATCGCCAATATTAGCCGAACGCAGGTATCTCCCAAGCGGCTAATAATTCCATCCAGCAGTCTCTAGTCGTCGGTAATAAATCCCCCCAATAACGAGACCAAGCTCCGCATTGGATGTAAAACAAGAACTGGCTTTACTGTGGGCTACCTGCCCGTATTTGCAGGTCTCCCACTTGGTGGACACTCCCCTAGGGGACCAAATGGGAGACTGTGACAACAGATAGACATATGGCAGTTCAGGACCCACAGACACAAAATATTCCCAGCATGCAATAGTAATTCCTCCCCTCTGCCCTGGAGATAATTGAGAAGTAATTCAATTATCTCCAGGACAGAGGCAAATCGCCATAAAAACACATAAAAATAGATAACTTTACATTTGTCGAATACTATCCATTCGTATCACATATCCCCAGATAGCCTGGATCTGAGTGCATATTATTGGCGAATAGCGCTCAGATCCCATACGCATTGTTCAGTCACCATGGAGTCAAAGTCTATTACAGTTCTTCGGTATGCGATTGACTCCATGGGAAGGCTATCTGGGGTAAGTCCATTCTTGCCTTTAAACCTCCTGAACGGCCGGTGTTCGCACACTCCTGTCGATTGAGAAGGGAGGTCGACGGCTTCAGCGGTGTTCGGTTGAAAAAGTGTCCGTTTTCAGTTCCATGAAATCAATGCCAAACACCGCTGGTCTTTCGCATGGTTTAAAATGGCCGCCGCCTCGTGGTCGACATACGAACGACGACCACCCTGTATTCGGTTTTAATTGAGAAGTGTCTGTGGTTAACCACAACGTTCTAATTGGGATCAATAGGTTAACCAGCAGCACACTTCTCTTCTGTGTGGCCGTCCGTTCGACAGTTTTGTTCGTCAGAAAAGTCAATTCACTTGAACAAAGGCATACGAACAGGTAATTTTGTGAAAAAGGCAAAACAGACGAATCCAGCAATCTTAGTCTATACAGAGGGATCTGTCACAGTAACCATGACCAAAGAAATGTTGGAAGCGTATATAGTGACACTACCAAAACCCAACAAACCCCCCATGCAATGTGCAAATCTGCATCCAATTTCCCTGTTAAATGCAGACACCAAACTCTACGCTAAACTCATAGCTTCCAGACTCAAAAAAATCCTCCTGGACCTAGTCTCGGAGGAGCAAGCAGGATTTGTACAGGGGAGACAGGTAGGGGACAATACCAGGCACTTCCTAAATTTAGTGGAATGGGCTAACAAATCACACCAAACGGGTATACTACTAGCACTAGATGCCGGCTTTGATTGGCTACACTGGAAATATATGCTACTTACACTCACAAAGATGGGATTCCCTCCCGCTTTCAGATCAAGCATAATGGCACTATATCACTGCATGTCCGCCAAAGTTTTTAGCACTGTGTTCATCTCCAACCAATTCGATATACGCAATGGTTTCCGGCAGGGTTGCCCTCTCTCCCCCTTAATCTTTATATTATGCTTAGAACCCTTGATGAGAATTATTTAACAGGACACAACCATGCAAGGCTTGAGCAAAAATTAAAAACACAACATGCATTTGACTGGCGTACTTTCTCCCTACAATATTTAGGAGTGAAACTTGCCAAGTCAGACTAAAACAAAACCAAAGAAAATCACTACCCAATGCTCAAAAGAATCAAATCCACACTTGTGGAATGGGAGGGTCTGGAGGTATCATGGCTAGGTCGTATTAACCTTATTAAAATAATGAAACTACCTCACATATTATATCTCTTCAGAACCCTGCCCATAGCTCTTCCAAACTCAAAGCACCATCAATGCTCACATATGGAAGAGGAAGCCCCCCAGAGTAGCTAAGGGATGCCTGGGGCTACCCTATATAAAAGGGGGCTTGGGAATGCCGGACATAAGAGATTACTATAGGGCATCCTTTCTAGCACAGGGGATAAGACTACTGCATTCCCCCAAAACCTCCCAATGCCCGCTATGGCTTTCACTCGAAAACGCATGCCTAGACACACATAACTTAACTCACCACTTATGGACATGTTTGGTTCCCCGAACCTCTAAGAAACCAAGGTTACATTGCTCAAAGACTTTAATAAATGCCTGGAAAGTTTGGAGTCCATTGGTGATGGATTCGACACAACTACTTAAAGAAGCACCAATGGCAACACTAGCAGCCTACTCCCCAGGACTACAGGTGGGGAGGTGGCAGATTAAGGGAACAAGACAGGTTCGAGACTTATTGAGTGGGGATCAGATAAAATCATTTCCTGATCTTCAAAAAGAACTAGATCTGGCACCTAGAGACATTTACCTTTACTTAAGGGTCAAAAATATAGTACAAACCTGCATTAAGGATAACCCATCCAACAATGACGTTAAAGTCCTCACACCTAAGCACATTACACTAATCAGATTCGCTAAACCTTTATCCCTGTGCTACAATGCGCTGATAAAAAACGCAGTTCCAGGAAAAATGACATACATGACACAATGGGAGAAAGAAATAGGTTGTCAGCTCCCTCTAACAGACTGGAAGTCAGCGATGGCAAGTACGAAACAAGCCTCGCGCAGTCTCTCGCTATGGGAGGCATATTGCAAAAATCACAATGAAGTGGTGCCTAATGCCACATAGATAAGCATGCATGTACACAGGCACAACAGGGTTTTGTTGGAGATGTGAAACAGAAATGGGAACCATGCTTCACATGTTCTGGAGTTGCCCAAAGCTGAGGGAGTTCTGGCAGCAAGTCCAGATCATGATCTCCCACAAGACAAAGCTCCTCATTCCCCTACACTCAGAAAAATACCTACTCCACATCATCCCTGATCTCTATTTACACCCCCACAGGAAGGTGATCTTAAATATCCTCACGGTAGCCAAAACAGCCCTAGCTGGTAACTGGAAAAGCAAACAGATCCCACTAATAGAGAGCATACACACTAAAATGGACACGTCTAGTGCATATGAGAGGATGGCCAGCAAAATAAATAGCTGTATAGATAAATATGAGAAAGAATGGGACAGCTGGCTAGCAAACCATAGGGTTCAGCAGGGGAATCCATAAAGCGTAAATCTGGGCCTGCACAAATGGGGCCTGACAACTGACGGATGACTTGAACAGATAGATAAATGGGCACAGCCCATAGGGCGATATTAACTGGAGTTGGTGGAGTAAGACCAAGGTTCCCCCCCCTTATCCCTTTTTTTCTCTTCTGTATCCCTCCCCCTCACCTAGTTAGAGAAAAAAAAATTAGAACATAACGTGGTATAATAAAAATACAACACAATGCAAGTTGAACTGTTACTGCACGTAAAAGTTACGAAAATGTAATGTTAAGAAGGTAAATATTGAGACTATTCCATTGGACATTATGCAAACTGTGATGTATTGTTTTCACTGAATGCATCAATAAAAAACGATAAATGAGAAAAAAAAATAAGAAAATGAATAGTACAGAACTAGCTAAGGTCAGGGAAATAGAAGATTCATAAATGGTTAGACAAGCCAAAAATCAAGGGATGCAGAAGTCAGAATAATCAAAGTATAAACCAAAAATGCACATTACACATTTTACAAACTTTATATAGTGGAAAATGTATTCATACTTACCATAATTTTCTTTTCCTGGCTATTATTCATGGCAACATATACACATGGGTTAGCTCCTCCCCTTACAGCCGATAGGACAGGAAAAACACCAAGGTTTTAAAAGGAGGCTCCATGCCTAAGGTCCTCAGTCAGTTTACAAGCTCAACAGTACATAAATAGAGACATTAATGGGTGGGCAGTATATGATGCCATGATTAATAGCCAGGAAAAGAAAATTACGGTAAGTATGAATACATTTTCCACTTTCCTGGCTAATCATGGCAGCATATACACATGGGGAATACCCAAGCTTACAAAGGGAGGGACAGAATAGCCAATCAAATATCAGAATAATTCAACATAGATAGAAGAATGAACTGAGTTAAGTACTTGAGTACCAAATTGTGCATCATAGACTGTTTTAACGAACAGTATGAAATGCCAGACAAACGTGTCCAAAGAGGTTCAAATGCTAGCTTACAAAAGTGTCAGCCCTGATACCCTGGTCCTGATACTTGATGTCCAAATTGTGC